TTGGCAACTTACTACAAGGTTGTTGAGCTCAACAGACTTGTTACAAGTTGTTCCAACAACATGTTATATCGTCCTGCAATTCAACAATTTGTCAACAAGTTGTGAGTGACAACCTTGTAGCAACTTGATAAAATAACAGAATTGTTACAACTTGTTGACAAGCTTGCTATATAAAAGCCTGTTGCGAAGACATCTTGTTGACAAGTTGTGAGATTTTTACGTGTAAATGTGTACCGTATGAGAGCGTTCAGTGCTGTTTTAAATTCACTCCAATCTCTTAGTTGTACGATTTTCGACGATGAATGCTTTTGTATATTTCATGGTCTAACTATATGCAAGATGTCATTGTATATTATGAAATACGTATGATATTAATTCTATCCAATTAATTTAAGACTAAAAATATTTTCTGTATACTAAAATAAAATATTCGACCGCCTATTCAGTTCCTTCCTTTTTGCAGTATCGGAAGAACTGCCCCCACGGGGCTTGCTACGAGTTTGAACCCCGGAGTTATTGCGAGGAGACGAAGTTCCGGGGGTACCCGAAGATACCCGGCGACTAGTCTCTATAACGCGACTTGACGAGGTTGATTTGGGTCGAGTTTTTGGCAGGGTCACTTTATCCGCCCGGACAAATGTACCATATCTAGGTTTACAAGTAAAATATCGTTTACCGTTCACTGAGCCGTCATTTCTGCCTGTAAAGAAAAAGTTTTCAAAACTTAAGGTTACAGAACACCTTTGAGTGTTAATTTGGCCTAAAAATGTATTATTGGTTTCCATGAAAGCATTAGACTAGTTCTACTATCTGACCAAGTTTGGACGAAAAATGTTGAAAACTCGCAGAGTTATTTAATAAAATACATTTCGCTACAATAAGAAAAACATTGAAAATGTAATATTCAAATTCAATTTTCTCCCGAAGAATTTTACGGCAATTACTGATTTTGATCTAGACAATTTTGATCTAGACAAGAACGAAATCCACTATCATAGCTGGAAAGAGCATCTTAAAACGAGTAAAAATGCAAAGTTTGGTTGCGAATTGTTGTAAAATGTGTGATTTAAAGAATGACTTAGCCTCCATTGAGTACAAAAATGCCCAATTTCAAAATTAACAAGAATGACTTTATTTAAATTTCAACGTACAAGAGTAAATTATTTCATCAAGGCATCATCTCCTCAGAAAGAGAATGCTGTGGCCTGGAAACTCGCCAGATCTCAACCCTATTGAGCATCTTTGGGACCAGCAAAGTTGTCTATCGTCGGTTCGAAGAATACAGGACTCTGGCTGACTTGGCTCAATTGTTGCAGGAGAAATGGATGGCTATATCTCAACGGCGGGTGAGCCGACGATGCCTTGGGGTGATCGAGAAGCGTAGTGGTTACACCCATTATTAAATCAATGATGAAACATTACTGTTGTTGTGAAATTGAAATAAAGTCATTCTTGTTAATTTTGAAATTGGGTATTTTTGTATTCAATTGAGGCCAAGTCATTCTTTTAAAGTGCACCTGACCTCAATTCTTTTTATAATTTCATTCTGAAGAACTTCTGAAATTATATAATAACTTATTTTGAAGATTTTCGTTTGCACACTTTGTCTCTGAGTTATTTCAGTTTTATTGATATGCAGATGTCCGGAATTTACGTCACAAATGCATAATGACTTAAAGTAAAAGCTTGTATATCGCATTCACTATCGAGTTTAAATCATTAAAATCCATAGTGAAGTTGTGGGAGGATTACATATACCTATGTAAAACACCATTTAGCCTCTTTATTTCATGATATTTAACTGTACCTTACATTCTTTGATCGGTCATTATTCACATGTGACGTAAATTCCGGACATCTGCATATCAATAAAACTGAAATAACTCCGAGACAAAGTGTGCAAACGAAAATCTTCAAAATAAGTTATTATATAATTTCAGAAGTTCTTCAGAATGAAATTATAAAAAGAATTGAGGTCAGGTGCACTTTAAGCACGAATGACCCCATTCTTCACACAGCATAAAGCAAACTACCATAGGTCTAATTAGTGCTAGGTTTGATTATCAGGTGATCAATCATTTAGAACTTATGATGATATATTTAGGGGGAAACTTTCTTTTTGTGTGGTGTTTATGTGATGGTTAAAAACAAACAGAAATACACTTACCAACTGGAAGTTCCAATTCTACTCCAACCCATTCCCCAGAGGCGAACTCGGTCGTACCAATATACCGTATTGATCCAACTTTAGAATCCCCTACACTAATAACCTGCCCTATCCTTAATTCACCCTCATAATCCCTCTTTGTACTGTTCTGTCCCGAAGATCCATCAGTATCCATAGTATCCCTCGCGTCCAATAACTGATCCGTGCTTTCATGTAGACCAGAGTCAACAGAATTCGATAACAAACTACCATTGTCCAAAGTACCTGACCAGTCCCCGACGGCCGGGTGAATATTTCCGATCGTCGCAACATCGGAAATAGTCTGACTTCCCGAATCGTGGACTAAATTCGGCCTAGCATCGTTACTTGAATCGAATTCCAATAGATCTAATTTTGTAGTTAAATCGTTTTCCAACTTAGCGTTGTTTTGCTCCAATTTCGAAGGACTAAAATCCGTATTCTCTTCATTCCAGTTCTCAAATTCTATTGGAATTTCTACAAGTTTATTTGAAATTGGTATATTTCCCAAAGAATCATTTAAAACTTTGTCTTCTTCGCTAGAAATGTTTATCAATGGTTCTTTTTCGTCTCGAGCTTGTCGTTCCTCATTAAATTCAGTTTCCAAAGACCGCGCGACCCTGGGACTAGTCTTTTCGGGTATATATGGAAAACTTGTCTCGGTTACCATGATAACGGGTTGGGGTGACGAAGGTGCACTGTGTTCCAGAACCGTTTCGAGTGTATTGGTCGGAGTACTGGACACGATAACGGTCGGCGTTAGAAGGTTTGTGTCCTGGGTACGAGGGTTATCCCAGTCGTCAAATGAGACTGCCACGTGACGTATCTGAGCCGGCGATCCTTTTCTCATTGAACCCTAGTCAGAGGTTTTTGTTAGTTGGGATATAGATTCATGTTTCGCTGTTTCAGGTTTAGTGTATACAACAGTCAGATATGATTATCAAAACCATGTTCAGAAACATACAAATGGTTGTTTAAGGTGATTCATCAGTAATTATTCTGGAGATGAGAATTTGCTGAAACTTCCCAGGGGTGAAGTTTATGATATGCTCATAGTAAAAACAGAAAAAAATTGGGGTCACCGAACTCGTTTCGAAGATATGACAAGTGCAATATGCCGGCACCTTTCCCCCATACGGCGCCATCTTGACCCTTTTACGAGTTGCAGGAACAATCGCAATTGCTCAACCGTTATTGATTTTTTAACAAGGATCCTACTAAAAATGTCTATCTAGTGATTATATACAAGAAAACATAGTATTTTAGCGAATAAAAAACCATTGACGTGCATTGTCGTGGTGCAAAGATGTCTTTTCCAATCTTCCCAGACATGTTATTTTGGGAAGCATGCGCGAAAAATGTAAAATATTATATGTTGCAGAAATGATTTTTCTCTTATTTTCCGATATGGCATGTAAAACGTATAGAAGAAAAAAATATAAAATAAAAAAGTAGGGTCACGCACATTCTTACGGAGATACAAGAGTTAAACCTGCAACATGATGTGCAGGGTGTCCACGGGCCTTGAAAATCCTGGAAAATCCTTGAATTGGAAAAAAATTCCAGGACTGGAAAGTCCTTGAAAATCAGTAGATGTCCTTGAAAGTCCTGGAATTAATTTCCTTAACCTCCAGCTGTGCCAACATTAGTGATTTTGATTAAAATTACTGAAAGTGAATTATTTACGGCAAATCCGTGCCATTTTCAAAGATTTTTCCTAGTTCTAGGTCCTTGAATTTACTGAAAAACGGCCTAGAAAGTCCTGGAAAGTCCTTGAATTTCACCTTCACCAAAGGGTGGATGTGGTTTAGTGTTAGTTGCCTAGGGAGTTCTGGTTAACGTATCTATTAGAGGTTTAAAACGAAAGCAATGACGATTGCCTACACTTTCGCACTATGGTATTAAAGTGATTCATCCAATAATCATAGAAATGAACGCAAAGACACACTTACTTGACCAAAATCAATGTCCAACGAATCATTCTTAGAACCAATCGAAGATAAATCAAAACTCTGTACACAAGAAACCAAAAAAAAAAAATTAAACAAATATTAAATTCGTACAGGTGAAAACTTCAACACGGTTTCCTCAGTACTTACCCCTTGAAGTAAATTTGGCGTGCTGGCAAATTTCCGCAAAGGTTTTCCACTCGCTGCAAGTTTTTCCTTCACAACAACTTCCTGTAGGGAAGAAAATGTTTTCATTCCATTGTCAGAGCACTGATAAAACTGATAATCTCATTTGAACACTGATATAAAACTGATAATCTCACATGTGAGATTATTTATGATAATTTCACATGTGAAAATTATCGCTTTTCTGTAAAAAATTATCGCTTTTCAAAGACTGTCCTTTATATAATATACTCGTTCGCTGCGCTCACTCTTGAGATATCATGTTCAACACTTGAAATAAATCTGGTATTTTCAAGCACCCATGTATTATTCTCTATTTATAATATCTCACACCCGTAATGATTACATTAAAATTTTTCATCACATGTTCCTCACGTGATATTCACATTTTCGTAATGTGATTGTCACATGTTTCTCACGTGTTCATCGCATGAACATCACGTGTTCTTACCTGCCGTAATTTATCGAGTTTTAGCAATCCTTCAACATGCGAAATTCCTCGATGATATTTTTCCAATACTACTTCATGTTCTTCGTCATTCTTGCTCACAGCGGCAGCAGCTCGTTCAGCAAGATTGCCTCTCTCCTCAGTCTCTTCGCCTGGTTGCTGAAATAGAGTGAACAGCAAGTCTTCATCAGAACTGTTTTTGCAATATGAAGGTAGTTCTGTGTTCAGTGGTAAAGTAGTGGATAAAAAAAGTAGTAGTGGATAAAAAAAGTAGTAGTGGATAAAAAAGAGTAGTAGTGGATAAAAAAGAGTAGTAGTGGATAAAAAAGAGTAGTAGTGGATAAAAAAGAGTAGTAGTGGATAAAAAAGAGTAGTAGTGGATAAAAAAGAGTGGTGGTGGATAAAAAAGAGTGGTGGTGGATAAAAAAGAGTGGTGGTGGATAAAGTATGGTGGTGGTGGATAAAGTATGGTGGTGGTGGATAAAGTATGGTGGTAGTGGATAAAAAAATAGTAGTGGATAAAAATAGTAGCAGTGGATAAAGTAAGGAAGATGGAGATCAGGTTGCTGGAACTTACCCGAGGTATATGAGAGACTAGTTCATATGTTACACAACACCGCGTTTTTGTATCCTAATAAAATGTTGGAAGGATATTGAAGTCACACGTATTATGAATAATAATCAATACCATTATTAAGTACTTCGAAACAGGGAAATCTACATTATTTTGCTTACCTTCCATAATTTTCTCATCAAACTGTCTTTCAAACTTTGTCGTTTGTAGATGCGTACGCATATTCTCTTACGTAATATCAGATCCATTGCAAGTGGACTGCTCAGACTAACGCGTGCCTGTTTGGAGAAATGTAAGGGTTATAAAACCAGAACTTTGGTATATCAGACATTTTCATGAATGCATTGAGTAAAGCTTATTTACTGCAGTATAAGAATGGATTAAATTCCTTTTGGAACGAGATGTGACATTAGAAGACTAACAACATGCTCTTAAAGGTGATGTAAAGTCCGTAATGTAAACAAACGCTTTGTTTACATTTTGAACTCAGTGCTACAGTTGTAAAATATGATTAGATATATATTATACTGAATTTTTAACACTTTTCTGGTTCGTTATGCTTGTAAATGAATACAGACTAGAGATTCAATTCAAGAAAGTTCGGAAGGTGCGAAATATTAACAACATTCTAAAGGTTGCTCCCCCAAACACCGCGTAAAAACGTCTGCGCATGCGTCAACCTGACCTGTAATAGTATTGCGAACTTGATGAGAAGCTGTTCCGAACATTTCCGAAGGCTCAAAATGGCGGTAAAAAGGAGTGACTTCATTGTGCGTCTTTACAGCCAGATTTCAAGCGCAAAAATAAACATGTCATTCTAAAAACTAGAAATAAATACAGCCAGAAGGTTCAAGAAATTGTATTGTACAAGAACATGAACTAAAGGTGATTGTTGAGAAATTTATCGTCTGAAACATTTTGTTTATCAACTAAGCAATGACAATTTCCGAATTTTCGCTTGAGATACATTTCTTTAAAAAAAACTGTATCGCCAAATATAAAAAATTTGCGTGTTCACAATAATTAAACTTTAGGATTTATTCTACAATTTGAGTGGGTTAAGAAGCTTAACTTTTCGAGAGTTTTCTTAACTTTTCGAGAGTTTTCTTAACTTTTTAGTTTGAATTTTTGTTTTGAATAATTTTGCAAAAATTTTCGAAGTCGTGTCCGTTAAAATCAACATTTTTTACATGAATTATATTTCATTTCATACTTTAAATGCCAGGACGCTTTCAATTGATGTCTAGTCTACCCATTTGCTATATTTTCTCGTTTGTTTTACTAATTTTTGACCAATTTATAAGCATGTTTTTGTTTTAGAAATTGATATTCAAATTCCCCTCCATATTTTCATAATTTGGTGCATGCGCAGACGTTTTTCCGCGGTGTTGCTCCCCCAATGATGGAATGTTTTGATGCGCAGAATATATGCGCAGAACGGACTTTACCGCATCTTTAATTATTTACCTTTATTATTAGATAAACTCGCTCAGAATTTGAAGTAGCTCGATTAAGGTATGGTGAGTCGTGAACAGAAGAATCCCAAGACACAGTTATGCATACCTGGGAATATAAAGACAATAAATAAATGGAGATAGTATATGGACCATTTGCATTATAGACTAAATTTTGATCTAGACAAATATTTCATCACAACTTGAAAGAGCATCACAAAATTAGTGATACTCCAAAGTTTCGTTGTGAAATATTGTAAAATGCGGATAATATAGCCTTGCGAAGTTTTCCGTTTTTCAGCCATTTTGTATTACGCACGGGAAATTGACAGTCCAATCGGGTGTTGGGGCATCAATTTCCCGTTTGTAATATACAAAATGACTGAAAATTGCAAATTTCGCAAGGCTATATTATCCGCATTTTACAACATTTCGCAACGAAACTTTGGAATATTACTAATTTTGTGATGCTCTTTCAAGGTGTGATAAAATTTTTGGCTAGATCAAAATTTAGTCTATAATCCATTGAGCTGTCTAATTGAGTCCTGTCATAGTTAATAGAATAGATGGCTCAGAAACTCATTAGAATAACAATATATCTCATTATCTTTGCTAGTCAACGTTTATGTAATAATGTCGTCCTTCGTTGTCACATGTGTATTGTATTTTCGCCAAATCCACCAATAGCAATTTTCAAGTTACCCAATAAACCTTACAAGTGTCAAGTCACGATAGATAACTTTCCAAAAACATTGCTATTGGTTAGTTGGGCAAAACTACAATATGCACGGCCAGCACGGGAATTTCAAAGTGAGATGGTCAATATTTTTTATTTTATGAAATTAAGGTAAATAACGAAGCCGCTCGATATACGATTATTCCCAACAAGAAATCTCGAAACTCTATTAATCTAATAATCTTTCTATAACTTACATTCTTTTGATCATATTTGATTGTGGGTAGTTCCTTCATTTTATCGTCTTTTTCAAAAGGAAGACTGGATTCCAGTCCAGCCACACTGGATTCATCCACTGACGAGTTGTGGATTCCTTCAGCTAAACAAAAAGACAGGATTTGTGTAAGTTGGATACTTTGAACGTTGGTAAGCTCATGACTCGTGAGTTTCATTGTCTTTTCATTGTTT